AAACCGTAAAAGCCTCGGCCACACATTCCCATTCATGTAGTGGGGTGAAGAGAAACACAGATATATGATTAACCTAAATACCTACCATGTCCAAAAGAAAGAAAGAAAAAAATTCAATACATTCAATAAAATCCTTGTTACCTTTATGACGATACGATATCATGAGTAAATTTAAAGTGTAATAATGGAAATTTTGATGAGTTTAACTACAGTACAATTTTGCCTGAAATAATATATTCCATGAACAAAAATATTTTTCTGCATAATTTTAAGTTATCAAATGTGATCAACTCATGTGAAGAGTTGTTAATTAAAATTGCAAAAGTTTCAAATGTCTGGCACAAAGAAATTGTGCATTATCTACATATATAACTAGTTGAGAACAATAATGTAATCAAAAGTTTAGTATATGGTTTCACAGAACTCTTACTACTTATTGAAATTCAGAACAATAAATTCCTTGTTATCTTTGAAGATACAATATCTTGGATGAATGTTGTGAGTTTCAATACAGTACAGTTTATGTCTGTAAGAATTTATTCCATGAGCAAAATTATTGTTCTACATAATTTGAGATTAACAAATGTAAATAATGGTTGTGTGTTGCATATAGTACAATAATGTAATCATAAGTTACTGTGGTTCCATAGTACTCTACTACTGTTTATCTGCTGGTGAGATTTGGGCACATTTTTTGTTCTGTATTGCACATTTGAAGAAATAAACATATTCAATTTCAAAACTGTTGATGGGAAAGATCTAAACTGAATTATAACTAAATTCAAGAAAGACACTTTCACTCTTAAATGATTACAGCACATTATAAGAAATTTAGATGAAAGTGGTTTATCAAATATCAAGACACATGGTAGTGAGTCTTGCATACTAAAAAACAACGTGCAGGACACACTGTATGTTATTAACAGGAGTGACAGTTTAGCGATTTTACATCTTCTGTAGCCCGGACTGTGGTCATTCAAACTATTGGACCCTCATTTCACATATCAAATTTAAATTTTTCCATATTATTTAGTATTAAAAGCCATAATTTATTATCAACGGTTGCACAAAAAGAAGGTATTCAGATACACAATGTTAATCTCTTTTTTTTCCAAATATCAGCACTAGTATTCTGTAGCAATATTTCATTATCATGTTTGTTTGTCATTATAATAATAACTGTTACTGTCATATCTATTACTTATAGACTGTACGTTCTCACAAAATATTATTGATTTTACATTACAAATGAAATTAATGAAACGTTAGTGAATATGTTATATTCCATGCATGCTTGTAATAGTGTGGTCCATGTTTCTGTTGAGATCTGAGCTAATAAAAAAAACTTGAAACTTATTCTTGGTTCTTCGTTTTTTGTACTTGGGTTGACAATTTTGAATATTAAAGCGAGTGACAAGATATGACTATGATTATATCAATTTTTCAGACATTATTAGGTTTATATTACATAAATATTTTATAACCTATCCATATGTACAAGTATCTTGTAGGTTGATACCAACATTGATTCAAGGTCTGTTATCAACAACAGTCCAATGTTGTGCCAACCTATCTGACACTATTGGTGCAGCGCTGGGTAACAAAAGTGGGTCACCTTTGAGCCAATGAGCAGAATGACGTTGGTTCGACGTTGAGCCAAAAAACTATATATGGTGGGCCAACATTGGTGTCAAAACAAAGTAATATAAGCCTACCTTTTCATAATGATGTTGGTGCTGAAAAGAATAACCATTTAGAATACAAAATGTAGAATGTCCAGCAATTACTATAATTTAACTGAATTTCTAACTAAGCCAATAAATGGGCTAAAAAATTCCATTGCTTGTTAAGCGAAATTCCAATGATGGCAAACAATTAAAACCTGTCATATGAACATATGCCACAGAAATTCAGAAAATTTGAATCTTCTCTTTCTATTGGTTATAAATAATCCAACAGAAAATGTCAAAGAGAATTAATGGATATAATAAGAGGGGTATGGCATATGGGTTTGGCTTTGTTTAATGTTACATAAAGCTTGAACATAGAGGCTATATATAAACTTACATTATGGTACAAGTGTGTAACTTGTGCCAAACTCGAGCAATTCAGAGTAAAGAAGTGTCACGTGATAAAAAGAAGTGAAGACTGAGAATATATCTAAATATGTAATTAAAACTTGTATAACATTAAAATTTGAGTTATGAACTACATTCTGAAGCCAAGTTTATTGATACAGACTGATAATAGTTATTTGATTAAATTTTGAATATGATTCTATAAAAAACGCATAACAGAGTTAATTGTCAGTTGGTCTGAAGACACAACTGAGAAATAGCTAAGAACAACTGTTGAAACTGTAATCAAAAGCTTGTTTATTACAAAAAATAACAAGGAAGAGAAAACCTTGTTTTTAGGTATTAATAACTATCATTATTCATAATATTACACAAAATTTCTCATTATAAGGTTTACTGTTGTTTTTTTTTATGATTTTAGTACAGTGATACTTTACATCACTGCCTATCTTCAGAACTAATAGCAGAGAGCCTGTTGCTAGTATAGGAATAGGTAAGTCAATCAGAACTTAAATAGCTTAATTTCCCTAATATTTTACACTTTTTGCTAGATAAGTCTTAATTTCAAAACAACACATATTAGCAACATACCATCTCCACCAAGTCTTTCACTACCTCCTGTCTTTTTCTTCCTTCTTTAGGCTTTTGTTTCAAAATTCCATTTTTCAAAGAACCTTTATATTGTTCTTCTAGAGAATAAAGAAATTAATTTACTTAAAATATTGCTGAATTAAAAACAAAGTGACTTCAAATGCAAACAAATGACATTTTACCAAAATAAAGTGAGATCTCAATTTATCACATTCTACTGAAGAAAATCTTATCAAAGTGTACACCTCAATAAAAATATCAAAATACACAGCTTTTTGTATTATCATTATTTATATATATATATATCTAATAAGCCATTTGCTTCTTTGGCTTAAAGTAGGAAGTCTCAGAGGATCCTAGTACTCAATCACAAAGTGTGCCTTAGTGCAAAGTTGCAGTTGCAAGTATACAAGTCTCCTATAACTAAAATACTAAATTACTATACAACAAACAAATGGAAAAGTATATACGATACTACTACTACTACATACTGAGTTTTCACTGTTTATTTCAAGGCATCCATGCTCCCATGGTGTTTTTTTTGTATCCAGAAATATTTTGTATTTGAAAACACACAAATAAAACTTTAAAACCATTAATAAATACTTATTAGTAATTAAATTAAAAAACCCAAGACTTAAAATAAACTTTGTAGTCCTTATTTGATTATTCATGATATTATATACATGTCTGCACAATTCCAACCAACAGCATGTAAACAAAAATGAACTGGAATTGTAAAAAGACAATACATCAGCTCGGCAAGTTTGCTCTGCATCATTGCATACAGCATAACTGGACTGAAAGAACTTGTAGTATTTGACTTCCTTCACTTTCCTAGTTCGATTACATTTTCATAATAATAATAATATCTTGAACCTACAATGTAATAATTATTGTGACACATGACATAGAAAGGTACATTTCTATCACTCATAATATTTATGTTTTAAAACCAAAGAGGATACAAAATCTCTCTTTTACTTTTATATTTAAACATGAAACATTTAATTGTTGACAGTTTTCATTTAACTTACAAATATAATGTAAACTCATGCATGTAGGTTTGAAATTATAAAATTTTATTAGGATTACATTTTATCTCATCTTGTCATTGGTTTTATGTAACTTTTCAGATTCCCAGGTAAAATAATTTTATATTGTTTAATCAGATGTTTGTGTGGTGCAAAAGATCAATTTATCAGTACAATTACTAAGTGTTTTTGTTACTTATTAAATAAATACTTGAAACTGCAGTATAAACCTACTATTTTTAAACTGTGAAATATAATGGTAAATATTTTATTTTTGCTATTTAAAATTCAATGAAACCCTCTACTTGAAATGTGATTAACCAGATACCATTAAAAACTAAATATTTTCTATATAAAAAAAGCTGCTACACTTTCAAAGTTCTGCATACAAATTTTGCTGAGATACACCCACAAGAATTACAGAATTTAGCAAGTTCCTTATCTAAGTTTAGCTATGTTGCCACTACAGGTACCTCTTAGAATACTTCAATTCTCCAGTAGAACATTGTTGTTGTGGGACTAGAAGTTGCAACAATAGATCTCACACTTGGAACACTTTAGAACATTTTAGCCAAGTAAGCAGCAGTAAGTTGCAACAATAGATCTCACACTTGGATCACTTTAGAACATTGTAGCCAAGTAAGCAGCAGTAAGCTGCAACAATAGATCTCACACTTGGAACACTTTAGAACATTGTTACGAACCGAAGGTAAGTTCTAGCGTAAGTTAAGTTAGACTAACCTATAGGACTTACTCCTAACTTGGTAACAAACTTTAGAAACATTGTACGTCCTAAA